TCTAAGCTTAATTATATTTGCTGAAGATAACAGAATTCAGTACAAACTTCAGAAGTTAGTCGCACATCAGTCTGTGGCCGACTGATCGGAGCAGACACCAGCTTCTGCTGTTTGCTGTTTAATCTTGAGGATTTCCTGGTATCTAGTGGTTTATCGTGTCACACTATCAATAAACTCTTACTCCTTTCATTTGTGCGAATTTAAAGTGAATCTTGTTCAACTAAAACTGATCGTAAGACACTGAAATGTTTAATTCTATTGAATTACATTATTGCGACCTTGGAAAATTCTTATGAAAGCTACCGTGTTTCATTTTTTTTATTTTTAACCAAATATGTATTGATATGCAAACGATAGTTGACATTTTTCTCACTATGTTTTTCACTTCTATTTTCGCACATATTTTATTCATTAAGAGGATGTCTTTTTTTCTATGTTTTCGAAAAATTCTAGTTTCTGAAAAAATAATGTGTTCTGTTATATAACAATTTTTCAGTTTTGTCAAAAACTATATGTCAAATATATCATTCAAATAGATCTCTCAAATATCCAACATATTTCTCAAAGTTTTCGTAAAGATATATAGCTACAAACATATGTATGGAAGTCACAATGATCACAATGAGATCATACCAAAATCATATAGATGTGCGATATCGAATGCGCTTTGTCATACATATCTTTATGACATCATCCCTATGACGCCCGTGTGACATTAGCCTCGCAGGCACATCGTTGTATTGTGTATGTGCACACACATATACGTTTTTGAATAAATTCTAAAATAATCTTCCCTGTTACAAAATTTTATACGAAGCTTAGTTTTTAAGTTATAAAGATAAGTAATTTTTTCCTATTACAGATCGGGTATAAGAGGTAGGCAGAGACGGCACAACTCATTGTCGGATATTGATTTTTATGCGATGAATTTATCGACGATGATAACATTATATATATTTTTATAACTTCTATTAACGATCGTGTATATCGTATCGAATGCCGCGAAAGAATTCTGCGAAATTGATATGCAATCCTCTTCTACGCAAACGCATATGATTGCACAGCGAAAAACGATAACTTATGACGATGTTATTCGGAATAAATGTGTTAATGTGATCGCTAAATAATAAGAATTAATGAAATTGTAATAGTGAATGAAGTTAAATTGTATTAGCGAGTGGTTTTAAAGGGATTTTGGAACCATCTGTTTTACTGACACATTGATTTCAATCTTTTCAAACACTAATCTTCTTATTAGCTACACAGATTAAAAATCCTTTTGCACAATGAAAATAGTTATAATAACGAAGTTCGGAAGACAAAGTGTAAGATTAAATAAAAAATTTAAGAAATTACAGTTTCGTCATGTTTTGCATTAGCTTGTAACTTCGCTTATTAATTTAAATTAATTAAAATATGATATATAAATTATGATATGATCATATATATTAATTTAAATAAAAGTTCTGCAGTTTATCCATGCAAAAGCTTTTGCTTTCGGACTAGCCATAATACATTAAAGAATAATACTAAAGTAAAAGAAATGAGCTTAGAAATCAGTGTAAAAAGATTAGTGTTTGAAAAAAATGTATTGGATACGGAATTGTGTTTGCTACACTTTGTGGTAAAACAGGACAGTAAATTAGTTCTGCATAATTGTGATCGATGGAACTGCAGACAGACACAATCGTACTATCCTTGTCTGATTCATGTGTAGAGTGATGTTATGACAACGAAAGTTTTGTTAAATTTTTCAGTGAATTTTACATAAAACTTTCCGGCCTTCGTTATTGTAAGTACTTTCATTGTGCAAAAGGATTTTTCAATCTGTGTAGCTAATAAAAGATTAGTGTTTGAAACTCTCTCGTATCTTTGTTCTCTCGCACGCATCTTTGATCGCACGCTCATTAGACCGCGTTTACAATCAGTCGGAAGACATTGACTGCGTTCCGAAATTTATTGCCAATACTGAAAATATATAATTTGTGTCATGTATATTATAGATTTTCAATACTGGCAGTGAATATCAGCAACCATTGTCGCACGTATGTCGTATGTACCAATCACAACCTCAAACTAACAGCCGATATATAAAAGTCGGTCCGGTTGCCGTTGCCAAGAAGTTAAAAGTTGGGAAACTCTCTTTTAGCAACCGCAACTTTTTCTTACAACCAAAAATACTTCATACTTCGGGTTGTAAACTTAAAATCCCCCACCCTGTATACATGGTCCTTAAATAGTTCGGGACCGCTAAAATATTTCGAAAAATATGAAAGATACGAAAAAATGTTTCATACAAAAGTTATAGGGCTTAAAAAGATCTATTTAGTAGTCATATCAGTTTGACCATAAGTGGCGTTACTAAGGCCATATGAAGGTCAACTTTGCTTCTTAAATAGAACCTCCTATTTTTTATTGGAAATTCTTGTAGCTTATCTCGAGAGTTTTCCAAAACACTATAACGAAGTAATTTTTTATTAAGTTCTTTCCGAGTTATGACGCTTGAAAGTTACAGTACCGCCGGCATTAGCATTACCCAAAGTGTACTGCGCGAAGGTTGCATTGTCGGATTTACACCTCGCATGTGTGTGTGTGTGTGTGTGTCACTACAGAGATCAGGACCCTACGGTTCTTCAGTCCCGCAGTATTTTAAGACTCCAAACACTCTCCGTAATGTGTGTGTGTGTGTGTGTAGATAACATTTTTCAAGCTACTGTTTTTTACTTTTTCAATTAATCAAATGTTCAAAATAATTTCCATCTACTGTGTGACAATGAGCTAAACGTTCATAGAAATTATTGACCACATGGCTTATTTGTTCTAAAGTGATCAGAGATGCTTCCTGCATTATTCGATTCTTCAAGTCTTCCAAATTACATGGTTTCGTCGCATAACCCTACTACATAACCATCTCATCCATCAACGTCTACATAACCATAAACTTACTTTTGATGTGTCCCCAAAAAAAGAAATCAAGAGGAGATAGATCATGTGATCTAGCAGGCCACTCAATGGCATCTCTTCTACCTATCCATCGATTAAGAAACGGTTTAAAAATTCCCGAACTCGTACCGCAAAATGAGGTCCTGCTCCATCTTGATGGAACTAAACGTTCTGCATGTTTGCGTCAAATAAATTTTCAATTTCAGGAATATGATCTCGCAATAAATTTTTATATTTTTTTAGCATTTAAATCACCATCTATAAAAAATGGGTTTATAATACCCCGACTATAGATCCCTGTCCAAACATTCAATTTTTGTGGATATTGTGTGCGAAAATCACTCATCCAATGTGGACTTTCGTCATTCCAATATCTACAATTGTGGCGATTAACAGCACCATTTATTTGAAATGTGGCTTCATTAGAAAAAATAACATTCAAAAAATTAGCATTCCATTATCATCATACCGATGCATAAGTTCTTCACAAAACTGAATTCTTCTATCAAAATCATCTTCCATAAATCCTTGAGCGATAACAATTTTATACGGATAATATTGATGCTTTTTTAAAATGTTAGAAACGCTGCCTTCACTGATATCATGAGCTTGTGCTGTTTTTGATACGGACAAATGAGAATTTTCCTGAAATGATTGGAGAACATTCAAAGTCTTATCATCATTAGTTGCGAATTTTGGCCTTCCGCTGCAAAATCGGTCCTTAACTGTTCCCGTTTCAGAAAAAACGAATCACTGTTCTGCAAACGGTGGATTTAGAAATAGGATCGAGATCAGGATGTGTAACATTAAATAGATCGGCTACTTCTTGATATGATCTAATATGGTCATCAAATCCTTGATAAATAAGTAGCAATATTCTTTCTTTTTCGGTCAACATTTTTCAGAGAAAAATGTGATATTATAATCGGAGAGAGAAACAAAAGAAACAAAGGGCGAGATACGAGCGAGCGCAACTCGTTTTTAGAATATGTAGACGGAGAAGCACCTCTGATCGCACGTCCGCGCAGTACACTTTGGGTAATGCTAATGCCGGCAGTATTGTAACTTTCAAGCGTCATAACTCGGAAAGAATTTAATAAAAAATTACTTTATTATAATGTTTTGGAAAGCTCTCTAGATAAGTTACAAGAATTTCTAATAAAAAATAGGAGGTTCTATTAAAAAAAACAAAATTGACCTTCATATGACCTTAGTGACGCCATATAGTCAAACTGATATGACTAGTAAATAGATCTTTTTAAGCCCTATAATTTTTGTATGAAATATTTTTTTATATCTTTCATATTTTTCGAAATATTTTAGCATTCCCGGACTTTTTGAAGGCCCTGTATATTCTTAATACTCTGCGTAAATAAATTTATTATCTGGCTACTGGATTAAACGACGAACAATGTCGATAGTGCTTTCGCACATCGTGTCTGTCGACACCGACTCTTCTACTTTATATGTCGATTGAAATACTCCTTATTCCCTATTCTAATATTGCGGCACACTGGTCTTTACAGCTCTCAACACATAAAATCTTACAAATGTTTGCATGATAAAAGGTGTATATGAATTAGCTAAAAAATAATACTTATCAATTGAATATCTTACACATATATTACATTTTAAAATAGCGCATATACATATAAGAAGATACATTCATATAAATTTAATATAAAATACGATATATATATAGTCAATCTTCATATCTGACATAAATGTAAGAGTAACAAAGGTAATATTATATGTATCAAAACTATTATCTACGTATGTATCGATTAAGATTATTGGTAATCTTCAAGAGAAAATTAAAATAAATCTCAATATTGCATCACATATCTAAATATGATCAAAAATATATCAAGATATTATAAAAAACCCATTAAAGGCCTGGCTACCACAGCCATGATATCGTAATACTTGATGTTGGAAAAATGTCGTAATCAAAAACAAAAATACCCATATTTTTTTTTTCATTTACATTACTTTAAACCCTTTTTTATAAACAATTAGTATACAAAATCGAGATTTTGCAAAATAAATAATGGCAATCAATTCTACTAAAAAAAAGAATAAACTTCTGTTCTTGACAACGTGAGTTAGACAAAATCGTGTAAAAGTTATCGTCAACATGCCTAAATATGCTTCCAGAGGAATATGTGTTACTTTTTACGATACGAATTTCAAGGTCAATTATATCACAATAATGGATTCTAAGCCTGTTTCGATTTTGTCAACCAACTACGGTATATATCCTAAAGTAACGATGAATCGATACAAGATTGTGGTGAACAAGAAATACAATTTCCTCATGCATTTTCTAAATACAATCAGCATATGAGTGGTGTAGATCAACACGATCAACATGCTAATGTTTTGCTATCATATATTCAATCCAAAAAATGGACATGGTGTCTATTCATGAGAATAATACAAGCTTCTTTAACAAACGCAACAGTTTTGTATAATTACATGCATACGGAAGATAAAAAAGGAACGAAAGATGTAGCAATAGAAGTCTGTGAATACTATCTTAAAAACGTTAACAAAGTTCGAACTTTGCCAAAACGAATCATGCAGCAATTTAATCTATCAACTGAGCTACATACGATAAAAATAGGGAAAAGGCAAAAACATCAATTTACAGACAATAAAGAACAAAAATGCACAAAAACATACGACAAAATTTGTGTGCAATGTAAAGTAACATTATGCAAGACATATGCAAAGCAACACTCTAGCGCTGATTGTTGAATCGATCATCCTGATTTGCGAGAGGCGAGGGGACTCGCAAAAGAAAGTATCCCGAATTTGCAAAGTCTCGATTTTGTATATAATTTGTTTATAAAAAAGGGTTTAAAGCATTGTAAATTGAAAAAGAAAAAATACGATTATTTTTGTTTTTGGTTACGACACTTTCCTGATATCAAGTTATGTATTATCATTATTCACAGACGCATGGCCCGAAGCCGCTGTAATTTGTTTATGACCATTTTGCAATAAGGCAATAAAGAAAATAAGGATCGGATGAAAAAATATTCAAGAACAGAAGTTTATTCTTTTTTTAGTAGAATCAATTGCCATTATTTATTTTGCAAAATCACGATTTTTTACACAATTTGTTTATAAAAAAGGGTTTAAAGCAATGTAAATGAAAAAAGAAAAAATATAGGAATTTTTGTTTTTGGTTACGATACTTTACCAACATCAAGTATTACGATATCATGGCTATAGTAGCAATGGCCCTTAATGGGTTAATACATATCAAAGTCAGGAATGTCGATAAGAAATAATAACCTAAGTAGAACGGAAAATTATAATAACATTACAATAACGAAAAAAGGATCGAATCATGATGAAAAAATGAGTTTTTTTCACTTTTCGTTACTTTGCCGTCATTTTTACGTCATCATGATTTTCTGCTCCGCCTGGCAAATACTTCAACATGATATCTTTTAGCTTCATTTAAATAATTTCCAATTCAGGCAGTTCCTTTTTCTATGAATAAGTAAATCAAGGCGCTTAATAAAATGTGCCGAAGTTTTTGCCTCTCATGTTAAAATGATCGGAATTTTGACTATCGTATCGCGCGAGAAGCTTCCCATAGTCTGACGGTTCCGCGAACATCTTCAAAATGGAAACTTGCTGATCATCGGGGATCGCTTTTCCAGCATGTAGACTTCCCACATTAATATTACTACTGTTTCGATGCGGAAGAAAGTCGTTGCCCTTTCTATTTATCAATATATGTCCACGTACTTTCAATGGTAAATCGCCACATCCAGTTACACTATAACCGACATAAGGAACCTTCGGTCCATGCTTTACTACGCTAATACAAGGATTGTTGATATTAATTTCCAACTTGATTGTTTCCATTTGTTTCTCCGTCCCGGGTACGAGCACTTGCAACTTGGCTTCCATTTGAACCGGGAAGAAACCTATCTCACCCGCGTACGGGGCATCAACATATATTATGTCATATAGAATGGGTTTGAAATACTCTAGTCTAAGATTAATAGGTCTCCTATTCTCATCCTTGTATTTTCCAACAAAGTCGCAGCATTTTTGAAATGCTGCATTCAGAGCTTTCGTACGTTGTTCCTGTAACTCCTTGTTGCTCAATATTTTATTTACAGTGAGGTCCACGTCGTACTTATTATTCTGTGTCCAATCTTTCATGTCTTCTTTGTCTTTCGCCATGGATCTCTCTCTTGTGCTGCTTCGGCTTCTGGTTTTCTTACCACCGATCAGTCCAACTCCTATTCTGTACTGATGCCTTCCGTACAACAAGCGATATCGTATACCGGGGCTGTTTTCAATCCGCTTCGCTAACTTTTTCCTGAACGTCTCCGCTGACATGCTATCTAGGTCAGGTATGTACTGGCAGAGCGTCTCATATAGGCAATTCTTGGAGCCGTGACTCGCGTCACTGTTCGCATTGTCATCCCGACTAACCTGTAAGTGGCCGTCCTTCAAGAACATCCTAATTACTATGTCCTGTTCACCGTCCGACATGGTCGAGATTCTCTCCGACAGGCCGGATGCCTCATCCACAACAAGGGTCAGTCCTTCGACATTGAACCCGTGATGCTCCAGCATGTGCTGGATAACCGGGAGACATGCGGCGACGCAGGTCGTATTTATTGGCACGTTCTCGCGCACAATATCCGCGAACAGCTTGGGATTGTGGGTCTTCATCAGCAAGTTTCGCAGATTGCTGTGATATTGCTTCTCGACCTGTTTGCTCTCCTCTTTGGGCATGTCTTTGAGTTCCTGCATCTCCTCGTCTCCTCCTTTTCCTCTTCCTGTCTTCTCCTTCTCGTATTCCTGCTTGTATTGCTGGAATTCATCGAAATATATACGCTCCTTATAACCGCTGCCATACATCTGGCTGCCAGCATAGCTTAGTACCATCTTCGCGACAGTATGCATGACGGGATTGATGATCTCTTTGTTGATCACCTGGCCGGCTCGCGCACATAATGACATGTTCCACTTTGTTTTGATATAGTTCTGGAATTCGTCCATGTCTCTGTCATAATCGTCTGCTGAGTTCTGTTGGTCTTGTCGGATACACGTGTTCATCTCACGCAACTCGCTAATCTTCGTTTGCACACGCTCGTTCAACTCGTCCAGCATATTGTTTGTGATTTTCCTCAAATCGTAGAAAACAGTCGTCTTTTGCAAGATCGTGCGCGCCGGATCAATTTCCTCCATTAGTTTCAGGAGCGCCTTTGCGTTAAATGAGACAATAAATGCTGAATAAACGGACTGGAATTTCTCGACGACATTCATTACAGCGTATCTCAGCTTGATGCATATAGGTAACAATTCAAAGGTCGAACTGCTTGCGAAATCATCATAGGTGATGTCTTCTATCATCGCTTCCGCATTCTGTTGACCTAACGTTCGATACGCCGTTTTCAAAGTACTTGATATGATGTGCTCTTCCACGGCTTTGTCGATTTCCTTCATCATGAAGGAACCGATATCCCGGCACAGGTTCTGTACATACTTACTTACGATCCAATCGACACTCGCGTCTTTTGGACTAAACGCGACGCCTTCCACGGTACTCATCGCGACGCGCTTCGTGAATTCGTTCTTTAGCAAACGAGTCCCTTGGCGCGTCACTTCGTTGGATACCTGCTTATCCAACGTCGTAGTCATCTCTATATCGGCTGACGAGATGTTGGATTCGACTATGCTGTTTGCGTAGGACAAGGTTTCGTTTGCCGACGGGAGCATCGCTCGAAAGCTGAACTTCAAACCAGTAATCGCCAGACTTATTATCTTATGATGCATATAGCTTTTCCAGCTGAAATAGCCGCTCCTAAAAGCTGAGATTGCGAAGAAGATATCATTCACACCCTCGGATACCAAGGCGCCGATCATACACGTCATAGTGCCGGCCGAAAAGATATGTATCACGATAGCAAGTATGATTTGCATTATGCCGAACACGACGACTGCAGCGGCCTTAAATATCATGTTCCAACTCCACCGTTGCTCCTGAAGTATCAAAAGATCATCCAGACCGTTCATCGCGAAGATCTGTAGCTCCTCGTTTGGGTAATCGTTACTACCGAAAGATCCACTTATTTCGATGTGCTTTAACAGCGACATCATCCTGCAGTCTGGCACATCCAAGGTCTTGAATGTATTTTTCAAAGCTTCTAAGGTTTTGACGATATTCTTTATCGTGGCCTTCTTTCCGAAATAATTGTGAGCGTCTATAATGATCTTAATAGTTTCTGTCGGTCCCTCGTAATTCGCCGATTTGCATGTACATCTCAGAGTGCCACCATCGACGAACACTAAGATTTTCTCTCGCTCCCCTTCTGTTAAACTATAATAAGTGCATATTAAGATTGACGATGTCTTGGGGTGCCACACTCCTGTGGGCATTTCTGTCTTCAGCGATTTGCTCGTATTTCCTATAGGATCTTGGCCTTTGAAACTTTTAATTATGTTTTCCTCTATCGACTCCATCACGTCGATCCATTTTTTCCGAATGATGTAATTAAATAATTCTTCATCTTTCTTTGTCCGCGATACGAGATTGTTTTTATAGAGTATTTGCATGAAAGCATCCTTCCCACGTATCATGCGCTCGTACATGTTCCGCAATTTGCTCTCCAGACTATAATTATTGCTGGATAGCTTGGCATGTTTGATGATTTTTTGTTTCATCAACGAATCGATTACCGATTGATGCGGGTTAGACATTAAACACAGGTCTCCGAATACCACTTCGTTCTGAAAAGCTTTTATCAATTTCTGCAACGCTATTCTGTAACTGAAACAGGTGTACAACAGCAGTTTCACAAAGTTTTCGTAGATGGGGCAGGAAGGTAGTTGAAGGTCCCAGATCTGATCATAAGGTACGACCAGTCGGTAAAGGCCCTTATCTCCGGCCGATAAGACCTTTTGCTTGACCAGATCGGTTAGAATTCGTTTCGCATCTTCCTCCGAGATATCTCGTTCGGTCAAATCCTCCACGGTGATCGAGTCGAAGTACGGAAATATCACATTCACCACTTGCCCCGCATCGTAAGTCGCCTTTTTGCTGTACTCGAATACCTTCCTGCGTTTCAATATTTTATATTTCTCGTCACTAATAAGTTTCTTGAACAGCCTCTTCTCCAACGTGATATCTTTGTCCTCGTCCTGGTTATCCCATTGAGAGAAGAAGCCGCGGGAGAGAAGCAGTTGTTCTTTATTGCATTTTAAAATCGACTTCTCCAGTTTCTTCTGCTCGATCATATTGTCTAGCAATTTAAAAAAAGATGGATCAATGTTCTGTAGCTTCCAAATACTAATTTTCACGTATTTCACTTCATCCTTCAAGATCTTCTCTTTCATTAGTAACTTCCAGAAGTTTTCCTTGCTGGGCATTCTCACCGACTTCTTCATATCCTTCTCGAATTCTTCTGGCTCTATAGAACAGCCGCATTTCTTCATAAGGAAATCGCTCAACTCCTTTGGAATTATTTCGTGACGCTCGCAAATCTCTTTCACGATGCTTTCCTCAATATTCTTCGATACTCTTGGCCTCCTCAAAATGTCGTTTTTAATCAAATCGAGGTACAAGGTCTGGGCTAACTCCTCCTTGATAACGTACTTCTCGAGATTCTGTGACGTCACGTTATGACCGAACACATCATCAATAGATTGCAAGAAAATCTCATATATGGTGCTGATGTTCTCGTGTTGCTCTTCGAACGTGTTGATCTCCCTAATTTCGAAATTTCGCTGCTTTAACATATCGATAGTATGTTTGACATATACCGCGTAATCGCGATGCTTCTGGAAGAGTTTTGTCGCCTCTCGCAATTCTTTTTTGAGTTCTTTTAAAGCGCCCCGATTCCTTTTGTCAATCTTTTTGATCAACGAAAAAGCCTTGTAGTAATGTGCGCTTTCCGAGAAATTGGGCTCTTCTTTGATAACGTGATCGAACAGCTCGATCGCCATGTTCTGCTCCTTGTTTCGTGCAAAGTACTTGGCGAGCTTGATGATTTGGGAAGGTTCGCGAATCCATTTCACCCAGTCTTTGCTCTCTTTCGACTTCAATGCCCGCAAGCGATCGATCAGTTTGCTGAGGGATGCTTTATATTTATTCGTGTCCTGCTCGCCCAATGTGCCGTTTATATATTTGCTGTTCTTATCCAACCAGAAAACCCACTCGTTCAAGCAGCTGCGCAACAGTACTTCCTTCACTTCATCACATACACCGTCCTTCAAATTTTTCTCCAGCTGCTGGTACACCTCTTTGAATTGATGAAAAGCATTCTCCTCTACACATATCTGCGTCTCATAATGTAGCTTGATGTCGGAGATACGACGGATCTCCTCAAAATCCCGCTCTTTTTTCAGGTGCGACGTCCGCAAAATACTTTGCGTATGCCGCAAGCCCAGAATAATCAATCTACCGGAACCATTGTTACCATACCGAGCTGCACGGCCGAAGGCCTGTTGCTCCACTCGATTGTTATTCGGTAGATACGTGAGACAAACATGCAGACCGCCCGCCTTGTCTAACTGCTCGGTGATCTTGATATCAGTACCACGACCGGCCAAATTGGTCGCAATGATGATTTGACTTTCACACAGATGCTTAGTGGCCACGCCGAAGGATTCACAGTCGCGCGTATACGTGTGCAAGTTCGTCATGTTCTTGGCGCCTAGCACTCTGTACAGAGACTCTACGTCTTGTACTGTCTCGCAAATTATAAGCACTGATCGGCCTGCTTTCGTATAAGTATCGGCCTCCGAGCATATCTGCTGACGCCATTCTTCTAGACTGGAACAGATAATCGGATTGTACTCTTCGAACTTCTTCATCTTTGTGGTTGGCACCGTAACGAAGTCCACCTGGTAGATATGTCGCAGTAAATCTCGCTCTCGTTGTGACCCCAACGTGCCGGTCAAGCCATAAAGCTTACTGTAAAACTTCAGATAACTCACGTTCGATACGAACACGGCCTTCAGACTCTGTGTCGACAGCCTGCAGCCATGCTTCAATTGCAAGAACTGATGCAACGCTTCATCCCATTGAGAGTTCGTCTGTTCTGTACCCGTGTCACGGTCGATGATAGTGATGTTGGTTTTAAGATCCGGCCTGCTGCATTTCCTGTCAACATTCAATATGTAGTCTTGCCGTTCCTGCATTAATAACGCCTTCTTAGCACTTTTGATCCAGGCGTCCAAGTGTAGATCTACAAACGGTTTCAAGTAATTAGGAACAACGACGTGTCTCTTGCGCTTAGAAATCTGCTCGAACAGATAGATCAAATATCGTTCGTAGCGCTCGAAGTCGGGTGACAATATTTCCATGATGTCTTTTGCGTTCACGATGTCTTTTTGTAAATAACCATCAATATTGATTATATTATGTTTGATCAAACGTTCCCATATTGTATTTACTTGTTGGCTGTTTATATGTCCGTCAATCTTCTTAATGTCTTCCTTCGACAACGAGCCGTACATGCTACACAAAACCTTGTGCCTGATCGCTTTATTGTCAACGATACGCTGAAACTCCTCCTGGCTTCTGAAAGGGCTATTAATCAACTGCCAGATGTACACGTAAACGGACTCGAGCTTGTCCAAACACGGTAAGTCATGTGATAAGTACAGCATATTGTTACCCTTGTCGAGCAGCATACTATCCATTTCGTCTATAATGACGTTCTCGAAGCTACGGCGGCCTAGAATATTCGTACCATAGAATTGATCCAGCAGATAGTCGCGCTGGAAGCCGGACAGCTCTCCGTAAATAATATCTTTCCAAGAGTACACCTCTTTTCGATTTTCGACGTCATCGTCGCAATTGTGCGACACGCTGACGGAGAACAGGTCATAAATATCGCTGTTGATCTTACTGTCCCGTTTCGCCAATACCGATGAGCTGGTGATGATGTCGACTTTTTGACCGCAAAGCACCTTTAAGATTGACAATGCCACGACAATCAACGATTTACCCTCCCCCGTGGATACCTGTACCAATGTGCTACATTCATTCGTGAATAATGCCAATATGGCAAGTTTTTGCGTGTCGCGAAGTCTGAAATTCTTCTTTATATATATGGCGTTCTCTATCAGACTGAGCAAATCAGCCATGTAATTGTGTACATACTGCAGTTTATCACTCTCTTTCTTGGAAATCTCTATATTGGATTTGTGTCTTGCGATCTCCTTTTTGATCGCTTCCTCGCTCGTCGCCTTTATTTGCTTCATAGCTTGAATGATATCTCTGATTCCATTCAGATCGTTCAGAACACGTTCGGAAGTGTTGCCGTAGCCTCTGATCAAATCAATCAATTTGTTCACGGTGCGATCTTCGTTAGAAGAGAATATCTCTTTCATTAGGATTATCCATTGGTTGATCTGGCAGTCGTTGAGTGTAATGAGAACATCCTGAGACAAATTCCACTCTCCGTTGTAAAAACTCGACAGAATTTGGAGAAAATTTTGAGTACTTATCGAACTGGTATCCTTTTGAAAATTGGACGACGCCTCTCTTGTTACACTAGAACTCTCATTCGACAGCAACGTGACCCATTTTTTTATAAGAATATCCATAAATGCGTCCACGAGGGAAGTGCCAGCGCTGTTCTCCAAAGATAACAGGTAGTAAGAGGCCCTCTGCAAATCTTCGTCTTCCCATTTAGTTAACTTGGACAGTTTAGTCGTCCAGTATTTTTCCTTGATCGCATACGGCCAATCGGATAATTCCAGCGCATGTAGTCCAGGCACACGTTCTGAAATATTACTCAGCAAATACAAAATATTTCCTATACATTCCGTCGAGAAGGCCTTGTTCGATTTGTTTTGTTCCAGTTTGAAACTTAATAGTAACAGAGTTTCCTTCTCGTGAATATTTCTCAAGTACCGCCTCCATTCGTGCATCTCATTCAACAACGTTTGAAAGTGATTTTCGAGCTTTAACAGTATAATTTCGTTTAACCATTGTTGCTGCGGATATGCCATGATTATCCAGCTAAACACATTTAGGCCAGAACAATCTTCAATGACGAAATTCAATACTGCGTTCACCAGGCAACAGAGTTCGTTGTAAGTAATGTGTCTACCGTTGCATGAGAAAACCTTAGCTATAGCGTGAATGATCTCACGTTGTCCAATATATTTGGATGATATCTTGTCCAGCATAAATCGTAGCTTCTGTTTCTTTTCCGAGGAGGAAAAATATTGTATTATATCATACATATCCACCTTCTCGTCGATTTTTATTTCGGTAGTGGAGATCTCACTGTTGTCTTCTTTGCTTCCAAGGAGAAATAATTCTTCCTTTATATACTCATCGAGGTTTGCTTTATGTTCTATCGACTCTACTTCTGCTATGATTTTCATGTACAAATTAGCTCTGCCGTTACGCTCCATGTCCAGTCGGAGAAAATCCTGATTGACATTCAATAGAGTGTAGTTCTTATTTGTATACAAGAGGTATATAACATGTGTAGATTGCGGATTGTGTACGTCCAACAAACAGATTTGATTGTTTCGATCCGTGATGTACATGCAAATATTAATGTTGAATATATACGCTAACAGTTCTCGATAACTCGGTGACAACGGACCATGTAATTGTATATGTCGCACGTATTCCTTGAGTATTTTCGGATCTTTCATACAATCCTCCCAGATAAAACGTTCATTGAACATCTTGCTAAATCGTTGGTAAAGCTTTTTTAATTGCTTGTTCTTCTTCGCATCCTCCTTCAATCTATTTTCCACATTCGTATTATTTAAACTTCGAAAGAGCTGACATATCACGTTGTAACAAGAGCCTGCATCGAGCTTCGATTCTTTGTAAAACTTCTTAAGTTTTATCTCTTGCACGCCGACGAACTTGCTGTATTCTTCGTAATATTTCTTCACATTTGGGTGCGCCTCCTCTTCTTTGCCTTCGTCCATTACAAAAGACGCAATGGAAAACTTGAAGAGGTCGTGATACTTATTCACGTTTTCTACAGCGCAAAATTTTGAGATCGTCTTGCGTTGCATCTCGTTATCTTCGAAGAAGTACTGCTGCAAATTGCCCAACTCTTTATGCAGATTTAGGTTAACATGCTGATGACTTTCGATCTTTTGAAAATATTTTATAGCATTCTTTGGTGTTAATTCAAATTTATTATTAGCAATGCACTTATGTTCAGCTATTTGTGCGATTTGTTGTAGAACAGCTAAACGATACTTTTCAATTAGAAGTTGTTCAATATTTTTTAAGTGCAATTGCATTTGAATATCAGATGCACTGTCATTCGTGTCTGCTTTCCCTTTTTGTGCGTGTTCTTCTTTCAACTGTTCATAAAGTTTAAACAAATGATAAAAATCAAAATAACCATATTGCTTGTTGTTTAATTCACACCAGTCATTTAATAAACCTTGTTGTAAATCTTTTAACAAATTTATCAGAGACTTGTCACATATTTGTTGAGGCTCAGTGATGCAGATAGGAGAAATTGTGTTGAGTACTCCTGCATTTTCTTGTGCAAATGGTTTTGTACGCGTAACTGTTACCTTCGACATTTCTTTTATCTGCTGCTCTCTGTTCTCCATCGTTATCTCGGAAGCATGTTCCTCAGCATACCTGTATTTCTGGAAATCTTGATACAAACCAGTATTTGTCCCGATCATATGTTGAGAATGCTGCATAAAGATATGATTCTGCAAAATATTTCTCTTACTCTCGGCTTGAGTTTGGTGCTCCGAGCGCGTTGAAGTATCTTTCTCTGTGAACGTCATGTTTGCAGGTTGCGGGATGTTGGTCTCTAATATTTGTACGTATTTATTTTTAGAATTCGTGGCACGATAAGGAACATATATCCGATCCGAAGCATTGCTGTCATAATAACTCAACTCGAGTTTGCTGTTCTCATTAATACCATAATATTTTCCTTTCATCCAGAATGCGCAATCGATAAAAGACATGTCCCAGCCATCTTTCCCGTGGATGCCGCATTTACCTTCTTTGCCATTCTCACCATTCTTGCCCGAATTGGAAACTATGACAATACCATTGTGGTCACTGATCACTTTGCCGGGATATCCTCCTTGCCCACCTAAACCAGCCGCACCTCCACGTCCTCCAGGACGTCCTGCAGAGCCTTTATATAATACGAAAGTTTGGCCATCGAACGAAGAAGAAAAGTAAATTTCTTGACCATCTTCAGTTACAGCCTCTAGATATATATTGCATCTTTTTTTACATTTTATTAAATCTTCTATTGAACGATTTTTACCATTTAGCCACGATAGTCTTATTTGTCCTAAGGAATGAATGTTACGTACTATGGTTCTCATGTTTCTAATTGAGAATTTACTAATAAGTTTCCCACTACTTGGAAATTTAGTAATGAAATCTACATAAGAAATTCCTGTGCCGTCTCTCCCGTCCTTACCGTCTCCGCCTCTTTGACCGTCGCTACCATTTCCACCGTTGCACCAAATCTCCAGCATCTGCGGATGTAACATGTTATCTGCATGAATGAAGACGTTTCCGCCGTTTTCTCCATCTTTTCCATGCTCTCCGTCTACACCCACGCCGTTGTCATCGGTTTTCGCTTTCATAATTATTGTAGCATCTACGGACTTTCCAGAAATATCCCACTTACACTTGTCACGAATTACAATTGCTTTAGCATATACCACGATATTTTTCCCATGCCACATGCTGTTCTCTAGATTTTTATTGATATACATGATGCCAGAGCACATGAAACGAACTTCTTCTATGTAAGAGTCATGTAACAAAAGGGAATTTACATCATTAATGATATCACTTAGATAAAAATTTCCACCTTTTATTTCAATGACAACTCGATTATCAGTTGTTAGCTTTTCTAATGTTACCGGTTTAAAATATGCTCCGATAATTTCTTGATATTTATCCATCAGAGCAATATGTTTTTGCCCCATTAATGACCGCGTCGCGTATTGCAATTGCTTAAGCTTTACATCATAATCAGCGACATTGAGGTCCATAATTATTTGAAAAAATTTATCGCTTGATATGTCAGGTTTATACAAGTGTTGTAACTTCATCATGTCCGGATATTCGTCGCACTTTTCGAACATAGCTAAAAATTCAAGCAATGTCTTGAGAAAGTCAACCTGCTCGATTAGGATATTACCGTGTGCCATTGAAAGCTCCAGGCATTTCTCTTTAAAACATTTCATTAAGGTTTCTTCTTTGTGTTGTTCAATAAGATCTTTGTGCTCCATTAAAAGTTTGTAATAATTCAGGTCATTAAATGGAGGCGGTGTTTTAACAAAATGTTTGATGTTATTCAAAGCAATGAGTTCTTTATCAAGTTTCTCTATCAAGTGACCATTAGTTGAATGTTCTTTTAAAAAACTATCGATCTCCTCTATCCAGTACTCCAAGCAACACTTGAGATATTTATCTTCTATGTAAGCACGATCGACAGTATTCAGCTGAACGTTATGTTCTTTTTCAATGATATTCTCTATTTCCTCCAAGCGATATCTATGGTTCCACAAATGTGTTCTTATTAGATTTGGGATATCTGTTACTTCCATTGTGACTTCTTTTGCAATCTTGCTATATATATAGTATTTTGATATGTAAGTCTTCTAAAAATTATCTTTAGTAAGAAATCTGATAAAGCGTAATATTTGGATATCTTATGTCCCTAAATTGCTAATTATTGTACTTGGCAGTACCTAGAAAAAAGAAAAATGAAACGTGCTGTGACATTCATTAACATATTTTCGTGTACATTATGAATGATAGAGTATCATATTTATTAAATTTTTATAGGAAAATTTTTACAGGATAAATTTGAAAATGCAGGTTGAATAGAATGAACGATTACCTACTGCTTCTTTATCACTTATATAGGCGTGACATTTCACATGAGATAACAATTGCTAACGCATCTGTTGGAATTGTGCGAGGTTGGAGTTCTCATACTTCCTGCCGCAACACCTTATCTATTCCTACGAAACAACACATATTTAGCATGACGCATACCATACACATATTTGGCATAACGGATACTACTAACACTTTCGCTATCGTTTGTATTCGACGAAAGATATTACTACAAGCAAAGAGCAGACCGCAGCTGGCGTTCGCCGGCATCTGATAAGCGATTAACTTCTTTGCGTGAGACGTCATGTGCGCCATGAATCTGCGAGTAGCGATCGGAAGCGTCTAAAAATTGTCATATATACGGTTCAGTATGTTAGCACGTTTACATTTGATAGTGTGAAAATGATATCAAATGCCATTTCTCTAGTCCCATGTAAGCGATTTCAATCAATTAAATTTATTCTTAGGAATAAAATGTGTGAAGAATTATATTCGATAAATCGAAAGATCACATCGAAGATCTCGCCGCTCAATACAAATTTCCTGCATTTTAAATGTTAAGTATTGACGTATGCTTCCATGATATTAACCATAACACATTTTATGTCGATGTATATTTATGATATCATAATTATTGTTATACAGGGTCCTTAAAAAGTCCAGGAACGCTAAACTATTTCGAAAAATATGAAAGATACGAAAAAATGTTTCATACAAAAGTTATAGGGCTTAAAAAGATCTATTTAGTAGTTATATCAGTTTGACCATAGATGGCGTTGCTAAGGTGATATGAAGGTCAACTTTGTTTTTGTGAATAGAACCACCTATTTCCTATTAGAAATTTTTATAGCTTATCTCGAGAGCTTTCCAAAACACTATAATGAAGTATTTTTTATTAAGTTATTTCCGAGTTATGACGCTTGAAATTTACAGTTCCGCTGGCATTAACATTACCCAAAGTGTACCGCGCGAAGGTTGCACGGTCGGATTTACACCTCGCGTGTGTATGTGTATGTGTGTGTCACTACAGAGATCAGGACCCTACAGTTCGTCACTCACGCAGTATTTTAAGACTCCAAACACTCTCCGTAATGTATGTGTGTGTGGGGGGGGGGGTATGTGTGTGTGTGTGTGTGTGTGTGTGTATGTGTGTGTGTAGGTAACATTTTTCAAGCTATTGTTTTTTACTTTTTCAATTAATCAAATGTTCAAAATATCTTCCTTCTACTGTGGCAATAAGCTAAACGTTCATAAAAACTATTGATCACATGGCTTATTTGTTCTAAAATGATCAGAGATGCTTCCTGCATTATTCGATTCTTCAGGTCTTCCAAATTACATGGTTTCGTCGCATAACCCTACTATATAACCATCTCATCCATCAACGTCTACATAACCATAGACCTCCCTGATAACCTGCCTGCCGCCAGGGAAAAGGTTCGCCACTCCGGATGTCTATTCCTAAAAGGAGAAGATAATAGAGAATCAGTAGGAGGTAGAATGAGAGGATCGAGTTGCAGTAGACGAGTGAACATCGGAAACCATGATTGTGAGGGCCACCAAGGGACAATTAGAACCCCTGTAGCCTCGTCGTCTATTATTTTGCGTAGAATCCGAGGAATAATAATGAATGGAGGAAATGCGTAAAAATATAGGCTTTGCCACGATAGAGTAAAGGCATCAATTGCCCATGAGCCTGGGTCTGGGAACCAGGAGACGTAAAGGTCTAACTTGGCGTTAATACTAGACGCAAATAAATCGATGTCAAAAGGACCAAAACCGCTTTCAACTGCTCGGAACGCTTGCTTTGACAAAGACCACTCAGTGTCCGTATCCGAAATTCGCGACTCAGCATCGGCAATAACATTGTCGATAGAGACAATATAAGAAGCAAACAGAAGAATATGGCGTTTCTCACACCATTTCCACATATCTCGAGCTAAGTCAGATAAGAGAGGGTACTGAACTGAGCCAAATCTATTGATATAGGAAATAGCTGTGGTGTTGTCAATACGAAGTAGGATCCGGCAGTCATGAAGATGTAAGGCAAAACATTTTAACGCATGGAACGCGGCCTTTAACTCAAGTGCATTAATATGAAGCGCTCTATCCTCAATGGACCACCAGCCATGCGTGCGTTGCATTCCACAAGAGGCTCCTCAGCCCGTTAAAGATGTATCCGAGAAAATCTCGCATTCGTAGGGGGTAGAACGAATAACATTAAATTGGTGAACGTCGGAGAAGATACGAAGCCACCAATCAAAATCCTCTTTTAAATATGCGGGCAATATCATTTGTGCTTTATATTTTCCGGAGTGGGTACCTAGAGCTAAATATTTTTCGCGTTCAAATCTTTTAGTATATAACAAACCATACGAAACTGCCGGACAAACCGATACCAGCGATCCGATCATGCTCGCAAATTCCTTGATCGAGCAGTGAGTTCGCTGAGATATATTGTGTGTCAGCCTCAGGAGGCTTTCTCGTCTGTCAGACGGAATAGCGATTGATTGTTGAGCTGAATCAAAAATGAAACCTAAATATCTCGGCATCGAGATGAGGGTTTAATCTGGGACTTCTTATAGTTCACCCGAAAACCGAGAGAGGTGAGGAAAGCTAGAGAAAACTCGACGTTTCTCTGGCACTCTTCGGTGGAATCACCTAATAATAGAAAATCGTCTAGATATACAAACGAGTGCAAACCCCTTTCTCGTAGTACTCTGACCACGGGACTAATAATTTTTGTAAAAATATAAGGTGCAGTTGACGGGCCAAAGGGCAGCGATGTAAATTCATAACAGATGCCCTGCCATTGAAACCGGAGAAACTTTCTATGCGAAGGGTGCACCGGAACTGACAAATATGCATCCTCGAGATCAATTGATGCCATCTTGCAGTTTAAGGTCATGAGACGAATTACCGTTCGCCAATCCTCCATCTTGAAATGCGGAGGGGAGACGTGAGAATTTAAGTCACGGAGATTTAAAATAAATCGCGCCCCTCCGGAAGGTTTCCTGACGAGGAAGAAGGAAGACAGAAATTGGTCTGCAGACGGTTTGACGGACACTACTGCTCTTTTTTGACATAGACGTTTGATTTCCTCCGTGCAACATTCCGTCTCTTGCCGCGTCAGTGATGACTCCTTCAAAGAAGGACGGGCAGGAGGTAGATTCGTAAAGGGAATCCTGTAACCTTTTATTGCTGCAAGTACCTGGGAGTCGGACGTAATTGTTCGCCAACGATCCGCAAAGTAGACTAGGCGGCCTGCTGACTTTGCTGGAGCTACTGGTTGGGTCGATGTCTCGATCGGGAGGATGATCTCCTGAATCGGCTCGCTTGAAGAAAACCCCTCCTCGAGTGATGAGCCGTAGGAATCTTGCGTAGAGGGGTTTTCGCGTTTCCCTGCCCGCGCTCCTTCCGAGGAGGAGGGGGCTGCGATTTTGGTTGCTGAATTTGATTGAGCGGTCGTCGAGTTGACGGCTCTAGTGGTGGAGGAGGTTTTGCGCCATTTTCCGAGCCACTCTCACTCTCTCAACGGATTGAGCCGTATTCACCTCTTCGGCAAAGTTGCTCCCAAAAAGGCAATCGCCGATAGGAGCTGAGTCGGAGACGGTTTTACCTAAAAAGTTCAAAGATGGCACGATGAAAGCCCGTCTCATCTGGGATAAACGAAACTGGTGGTCCGCCAGTAAACGTATTCCCTCAGCGATCTTGGTTATAGCAGCTCTAGCTTCCGGTGAAGACTGGAGATACTCAAGCTTTGAGAGCTCTGAAATTCCAGCACCAAAGGCGTTGAGGGAAGCTCCCACCTGAGTCTGCAACTTTATATGATGCCTGTCGCGTACAGTAACCGTTTCACTCAGGTTAGGAAGGATCTCCTTATTTACACGAGGAGGGCCGAGGGATCTCAGGTCCTCTTTCAGCTCGTATTTAGTAAGGAGGGTGTTATGCAATTCTTCTTTAAGACCTGTGCGGACCTCTGACCTGGTCGTGTCTAAAATAATTTGCGACCAAGTAGCTGCAACAGGTGGGTAGAGAAGGAAACATTATTAGGTGGAGATGAGACCTGTCCTAAAAACAAAGGAGAGTGTACTGGAAATGCGGTGGAAAGAGAGCAGATGTTTATGTCCCCTTTTGTATCGCTATTCGTGGCGATAAGCCAATACGGGGACATACCTGGATCGCCATCCTGGCCCCTGAAGGCCCTCTGCTCTACGTATATCTCGGCAGAAGCCTCGCCGGACTTCTCCGAGGACAACGTGTGATCTAGTGGCGGAGGTAGACTCGCTGGTCTCTCCCCGTCCTCCGACACCTCGCTGGGTGCCGGGGACTTCCGATGCTTCCAATAGTCCATAAACTCGCTTAGTGCTTGTAGGATTCGGTCACAAGATGGTGAACGTGTCACTGAATACTCTCTCTCAAGTCGGTGCGGCGACCGGCGAGAGAGGTTTATTCGCGATCTTGAGCGTGATCGAGAACCTGATCGCCTGCTAGAGGACCGATCCCCCTGCTTGCGTTGGCTCTTTCGTGAAGAACGTGGGGATCGGTCTTTCCGATGCTTCGTCATGTCGAGAAAATTGGAAAAGTATAAAATAAGCACGGAAACTTAAACTCACTTGACTCTGTAAGAACAGAAAACACAATGAAGTTGCAGCGCGCGTGGCGGCGCAGGGTGCGACAGAGCGCGTGCAGCGCCACGGGGCAGGCAGGAGGCGACAGGGCGCGGGGGCGCCTTTTTTTATTTGAACTCTGTTGACGATGTAGGTAAGAAAGCAAAACTACATAGTTAATCCATCCGGACGAGACCAGAGGGCATAATCAAACATTTCCGACGAAATTTATTTTCTTCCGTTTAGTATTTGTGGGGATGACTAAAAGTACTAGTATACTACGAATGCTCTACGACAAGAGAGGATATGATTCATAGAATGCGCGACGCTATTCGTTCTTTACATGCTGATGAAATTCTTCGTGTAACAAATAATTTTGAGATAAGAGTACTTATTTGCATTGAAGCAAATGGTGAACATTTCGGACATAAAGCCTAATCATATCAGCTACACACACACACATACACACACACATACACATACACACACAGCAAAGAGGGTTTGGAGTCGATAAATATTACGAAAGTGATGAACCGTGGGGTCTTTATCTCTGCTGTGACATATACATGCACGCACACACACACATAATAGAGATATAAATCCGTACAACCTCCATGTTTTGGATAATGCTAATACCGATAGTATTTTAACTTTCGGCCTCATAACTCAAAAAATACCTAATGGAAAAATACTTTATCATAGTATTCTCAAAGCTCTCGAGATAAGCTACAAGAATATGCAATGAAAAATAAGGGATTCCATTAAAAAAATTGAAGGTGACTTTCACGTGACCTTATTGAAAATGCTATTCAAAGTTATACTAATACCACTATCTGATGCCATTTAAAAACCTACAACTTTTGTTTGAAACATTTTTCTCTAAAGTGTCGCGTTTATGAAAAAGTTCCATGTTGGTGACCTAGTTGGGTCTAATCCAGTCTAAATCACCCTGTATATCTCGAAAAAAAATAATTAGAGTTTGATATACAAATAACTTACATATATATTTTGACGAAATAATAATTTGAATTTGGTACACACGTATCTTGAAAAAATTTTAGTTTGAGATGTCTAAAAATAACACAATACGTGTTGCGCATGTCCTTGACGCTTTCTTGTATCTTTTTTATAATAAACGATTGTGTTACGCACTGCGCTATGGTATGTGACGACGCATGTCATTTGATTGCTGGTCAATAGGGACGATCTGATCAGCTGTGCTATCAATAGTGGTCCTTAAAATTGAAAAACGATCTCACTGGACAACGAATCAATAAGCACTAGTATTGATTTTTCGATAGCACAGCTGATCAGATTGTCCCAGCTGACCAGCAATCAACTGACAGGCGTCACATCGCACCGTAACGCATAATAGTATTCTCACCTTATTATCTTTAGAAATTCTCTTTCTCAGCCTTCTGCCTCTCTCTCTCTCTCTCTCTCTCTCTCTCTCTCTCTCTCTCTCTCTCTCTCGCTTTCGCTCTCGCTCTCGCTCTCGCTCTCGCTCTCGCTCTCGCTCTCGCTCTCGCTCTCGCTCTCGCTCTCGCTCTCGCTCTCGCTCTCGCTCTCGCTCTCGCTCTCGCTCTCGCTCTCGCTCTCGCTCTCGCTCTCGCTCTCGCTCTCACTCTCGCTCTCGTTCTCGCTCTCGCTCTTGCTCTCGCTCTTGCTCTCTCTCTTTCTTATTCTTAGAAATAAAGTGTGCGGAAATAATATTTAATAAATCGTAAAATTACGTCGAAAACTTCGTCGCTCAATATAAAAGACCCCGCCAGATTCTTATGGAAATCGGTACGCGGTTAATTTTTCTAAAACTCCGTAAAATAGTACAGTGGCGTGCAAAACTTTTGAGCCAATTATTATTATATATTCATTTCATAATGAGCGCTAAAAACTTTACACATATATATAAACAAAATGTATTTATTTGTCCTACAATTATATAAACTTTACAAACTCTTAATAATTCTAAATACTTTATTTTTACACAATGTCTTATTACAAACAGTGCAAAAGTATTGCGCCAAAAAGTTTTCTTATTCATAAGAAAAATATATTATTGAAAAATAATAACAAAAAATGTTATCAACGTTTTTTTAAACTTAATACTTTGTTGCCATGCCTTTAGAAACAATCACTGCAGCACAACGGCGAGGCATTGATGCTATTAAATTAGAAATGCGATCTTGAGGTAAATTTTGCCATTGAATTTGCAAATCTTGCCACAATTCAGCTTTATTGGAGTGTTCTTATTTCTTGTATGTATTTTGAGTTCTTGCCACAAATGCTCAATAGGATTCAAGTCCGGCGATTGCGAGGGCCAGTCAAGAACTCGCATTTTTTTCACGATGAAAAATTCTTTTATTAGTTTTGATGAATGTTTGGGATCGTTATTTTGTTGGAAAATTCAACTACGTGGCATGTTTCGAGTTGCATATGACAGCATATGCTGTGTCAATATATCTCGATATATTATAGCGTCCATAGTACCCGTGATCTCAACCAATGGACCAACTCCATTATAAGGAAATGATCCCCAAACCATCACGTTACCTCCACCATGTTTTACGGTAGGAATTTGGTATCTTGAGTTATATTTTGTGCCTGTTGGACGTCGTATATACTTTCTACTGTCACTCCTGAATAACTGAAACTTTGACTCGTCAGAGGAAAATACTTTTCGCCAATCAACTTCAGTCCAATGTTCAAATTTCTTTGCAAAATCGAGTTTTCTTATTTTTTGCACTAATTAATGGTTTTTTTTACACCAGCACGTCTTAAAAGTCCTACTTCCTTTAGACATCGAGATATTGTACTTCGACTAATATCAGCAAGATTTTCTTCTCGTAGTTCTCGAGAAATATCCATGACAGTTTTTCTAACATCTGCTATCGACTTTCTTTTAATCATTTTATCGACGCACTTTGTAGTTTTGCGAGATCTGCCGTTTCGTGGTTTATCAACTAGAGAGTTCGTCAACTTATATTTAGCAATAATCCTATTTCCAGTACTTTTATCAATTAATAAGCAATTAGCAATTTCGCGAGAAACCTTTCCTTGTTGAGAAAGATTAATCACGGTTTTGCGTAACTGAAGGCTTGTATGCTTCGGCATTGCGGTAGACAATAGACTGAATCTTAGTTAAAGTAAATATTTACGAAGGAGTTTCCTAAGAAACGTAAACAAACCGGGCTCATAAAGTCACAACAAGAGTATGGCTCAATACTTTCGAACACATGTAAATATTATATGACTAAATAATTAGAAACTATATAATTTCAAAATTTTGTAACTGTACTATTATTTATAAGAATGTTATGTCAACTATTTTATATAATTAACTTTTAGAGCAAATCAATATATTGTCATGTATCTTAAAAAGACACTATGGCTCGAAACCTTTGCACGCCACTGTACTTTATGTGACGCTGATGAAAAGTTATCATTTCATCAACTCGATCCTATGACTACTTTCAGTTCTAGAGAAGATTAAATGTCACGGATAACACGTTTCTCTGCTAATATAACTTTGGTGATTTTTATCGGATTACGGGAGCAATTCTAAATCGTTATCGTGATCCTATACATTATACAAAATGTACATTATACCCTACCCTACATTATACAAAATGTAATAGTGCAAATAGCGCGAGAAATGTTACAAACGTCAAGAGAAGTTAATGTCCTGCAGGCACGTGTGGAGGCAGAACAATTATATAGAAGACGTGCATAATAGAGAGAACTGCAGAATAATAACTTGCTTTTTCTTACCTCACTTTGGAATATTTTGGGACACTTTGGAATACGAAATGTAACTATAAATATTTATCAGATAAATCTAGCTTTATCTTACGTACAGGATAAATTGCAATATGATGCAACAGAAATAGTTGAAGTAGATGAGCGCATTAATGAAGATGGCCTTTTAAGGATACGGATATTTTCAAAGTTTAAGAACGCAACATGTTATCAGATATTTATAGCTTATGATGTTGATAGGAACGACTACGACAAGGAGAATGAAGATAATTATGAACCTATATCTGGATATTATTGCACATGTAAATCAGAGGCTAGAGCTCTTGGAACTTGTGCACACGTTGCCAGCGTACTATGATACTTAGGCTATGCGTGGCATCAAAATAATATCAGATAGCCATGGACAACTTTGACTCAGGTAACACAAGATGCTGGTTAGAGCAAGACATAACAAGTTAGAACAAGAACAGGTTTAGAAAAAAAATCCAAATGAAATGATGCGTATCGAAAATGAACAAAATATTTACTGAATATGAAATGAGCATGACATAAACCCCTTGTATTCATACAAAAGTACATTCATGTATTTGTATAAATATGATTGGGTACATCATTGCCGACTCCCACCAGGAAAGTTTCCGTCACACGCACGCATACACGCACGCACAAGCACACACACACGCACACACACATACACGCACGCACATACACACGTGATCAGATACTCGCTACGTTCCCGTCGTTGATCCTGGGTAATGCCAAGAGCGAGAAATGATACTACATTAACACATGCACGCCTAAAGACACATGTACACACACGTAGGCACACTCGCATATACGTACACAAGCACGCATGCATGTACGCACGCATACGCACACATACAGATGCGCGCGTACACGTATATACACGGTCAATTACCCTCTCTTTTTTTCGTACGTGAAGCAATCTGAAACAGTGCTGGGAGATCCAAAGAATTTTCCACGCTACAACGCATGCCTGAAGTGACGTAGAGCTATATATATATCAAAAACCACTGACAGTTTAAAACGCATGACAGAGGATCCATAGAGGGGCCCGCGCAAAATATCTATGCCTTCCGTAGTTGTTTTCCCGCGTTTCTTCCGCGAGTGCGTGGTTTAGGGTTAGGGCTAGAGCACAGACTTCTGCGTAACGCATAATACACAACGCATAAGAGGATCAACTAATCAGAGTTCTTCATTTCTGTCCTGAGGAGGGAAATGAAGAAAACTAATTGGTTTATTCTCTTATGCGTTATGTATTATGTGTTATGCAAAAGCCTGTGCTCTTGCCCTTAGGTTACCCAGTAAATATGTTATATTTATGTTATGTCACATCAACATTATAATTTCTTAATATCATTAATAAATGTAATGTAA